TGGTGCTTAGGGACACGGTTTAGTGGTGGTGGTTTGGCAGTGTTAGATTAATGGTTGGCCTCTATCTTAAAGGTCTTTTCCAATCTAAATGGTTCTATGATTCTATGAAAAGAACAGGATATAGGGATCTTTAATGAGAAAAACTTAAGTCACTGTCAAGCTGAGGAAAGATATTTTTAATCGACAAAGTATATGAGAAGTATTTATGGAGAGCCTAAAACATTGCAAGTTTGCATTTTCTGATATTCAGTTTTCCCTCAATGTGAAACAGACTTTTATTCTATCTTCCCCCTGCCATTTTTACAGTTTCCAACTAGTGAACTATATTTTACAAGCAAACCACTCGTTCTGCCTTCTTCCTTTTCTGCTTTACTTCTCTTATTTCACCCTTTCTTCTTTGACTTGTTTCTTTACCCCATCTTAGTAATTGCTTTCCATCACTAACAGTCGGTTGTCTCCAGGGAAAGAAACAGGACCTGCAAGATAAACACCACTTCTTTTAGGACGAAGTCATTCAGCACTTCCATCCTTTACAGTCCTGGTATTCGTTTAGACTGTTATCTTTTTTCACAAGCTGTGGTAAGAATAAGGCCAAAACTCCTGCTAACCCAAAGGGTGAAAACACTTCTGTATGAGATTTGTTTTCTTATCATACTCCATTGAAATCAAGCAATTTGCCTAGCTCTGTTTTAGTAAAGTCAACACATTTCTCTTTTTTTTTTTTTTTTTTTTTTTCCTTCTCGTTTAAAGATGTTTAGCTGTCTCGGGCGGGTGGAGTAGAGCAGTTAACCAACTTTAATGCATGTCTGTTTTTTGTTTAGTGTGCAATTCTTTCTCCAGCTTTTAAAGTGAGAGAATTCTCTGTGACAGATGCTATACCGTTCCCAATATCTCTGTTGTGGAACACGGAAGCAGAGGACACTGAAGGGTAGGTAGCTCAAACTACAGTTCTGTGAAGCTTTTGGCCTTCATAATTCAAGGATAATGTTCTTGATTGCATTTAAATTAGGATCTTGGCATTCTTATGCAGGAAACCTGTAGGCCGTGTACCAGAGATGGTTGACAGTGGAGACTGTGTAAAGGCATGCGTTGAAATTTTAACCATAACTCCTCATATGTTAAAAAATAAAGATTAAAAAAAATCGTGATTGAATGAGCTACTAACCAATATCTTGTCTTGCATTACCCTTAACCGGTTATCACGTTTTGGAATACAAAATGAACTAGAACAACTGCTGGATCCTGATCCTACTTTCCTTTCTAGCTTTTTTTACTCAAGGTGTTCCTAACACCTGTCTGGATTCTTGTTTTAGTAGGAACATTATGCACTATGTAAATATTGTGAGCTTACATGGATGCTATTTGTCTGGCGGAAAACAGAAGCAAGGATTTAACTCTTAGAGTTTTGTAAGAGAAATTTCTTGCAATTGCAGTGTCTTAAGACTCTGACCTCTCTGCTATTTATGCCATGCCTGTGGGAAACGCAGTTGCTGTCTAGGATGTAAAGAGGTCTGAGTTTAACTTTTTGGAAGTTTAGAGTTCTACCTTTCTCATATTCAGCCTTTTCTTTTTTGTCTGTCTTCTGTGGAGATGCAGAACCTAATTGTTCTGTCACATGCTTCTGAGAGCATCCTGTGGGTTCATATTCTAGGTGAAGCTCATATTTCTCACATTTAGGTTATTAGATGAGATCCTTCCATAGTTAGAGATTCCCAAAACTCAGTTGGAAATTAGAATCAGAGTGGCATAATAGCGGACAGACCCTACAGGAAGAACATAAAATAAAGCTGGTTGTTTTTCTGTCATATCAAGTAATGAATAATAATCTGCTGTCAGGGTTCTCAACTAAGCCACGGAAAGTAAATGAGTAAGGAATTAACAGGGCTATAATTAGCCTTTTGAGACTAACTGAGGAAGGGTGCAAATTATGATTTACATTATGCTATTCCAAGCTCAGAATAATGTCTTTGCAAGAAATAGAGTTTGAAGGTCTGCTGATAGTCTGTCACTGAATTGCCACCTACATCTAAACTTATTTGCTTCTGAGACTCAAAATCAGTGGAACAGGACAATTTCCCATTACAGTACACAACAGTATTTTTTTTTTTCCTTACAGTATAGTGGTGAAGTATCTTTCTTGGAATTGTTCAGAAGGGTAAATGTGTCAAAACATGGTGATGTTTCTCTGAAAAGTTTTGACCCTAGATCAAAGCCTTTCAGCTCAAATACTCTGCTAAGTGGTATTTTTCTCTTAATTACAGGGTTCATGAGGTGTTCAGCAGAAATCATGCAGCACCTTTCTCCAAGGTTCTTACGTTCTATAGGAAAGGTCCATTTGAGTTAGAAGCTTTTTATTCTGATCCTAATGGAGTCCCATATCCTGAGTCAAAAATTGGTAAGTAATTGTCCTGGAAATTGTCTTGTCTCGCATTGTTTGGTCTTAAATCAATTCTGTAACTGTGTTGTGTTACAGTATGATTATATGACATAGATTTAGTTTTTTGTGTCTGGAGGACTCAATTTTCAATTATCCCATTCTATAGGTGACTTTGGATTTTTTATTTTCCTAGTTTCTAAAGTTGCTTCAGTCCAATGACAAAATGAGGGGAAACTAGCTGAATGCCCAGGACTAGAATGGGGCTATCACTGCAAAAGATAATTTTTTAACTTTTAAAATCTTTTCTGCTTTTTGCTAAAGCAAGCTAGAAATACTTGAAAAATATCTCCTGCATATAAAAATTTTAAACACATCTTGAGTAACTAGTTGTCTTTTCCTATACTTTCTGGGTTTGACATAATGCTGAATAAGTTTTAATCAAGACAGCCTGAAATAGTGTCAGCTACAAGACTACAGTATTGATTTGAATTGTCTAGATAACATTTATAAGCAGCTCTTTCATCCTTTTTGACAAATTACAACATTTGACAGTGTTGACACTTACAAGGAGTTTACAATATGGTTAGTTAGAAAAAGATTGTGGTGGTAAAGACAGGCCAATTAAATAACTGCTCTTGAGTTCTAAGCATGCAATTAGATGTTGTATGTTTGCGTGTAAAATTAAGATAAAGCTATTACTAGTTGTCAAGTAATTGCTTGGTTTTGTTAGAAAGTTCAACAGTTAAAGCTCAACTTTTTTTTCAGAGTGGTAGAAGAAATGACAAATCTTGGTTAAGTATTTGACAGTACAGCCGTCCTGTTAGTTAACAATGCACTTAAAATACAATAGCACCAGAACTGTAGTGTTAGAGATAAGCTTTATAAATATTCTTAAAATGGGTGGGAAAGTATATAGGGCAAAAACATCTCCATCTGATTTACCAGTATTTCAGCTAATACCTAATGCACTACAAAGTTACCAAAACCTATTATCCTAACAGAAAACATCAGTTATTTTCTCTACTTCAAAGCAAATTATGTGGTTGTTCCACTGCAAATCACAAAGTTCAAATACCATATGTCTTAGAAACCAGCACAATATTTTGTAGTTACAGAAACAGCAGACTTCCTTTCATTTTAACTCTTGCCATAAAGACTGATAGTGGGATTTGTGAGTGTTCAATTTATATGGCTTTAACAAACGAGAAGATATTTAACTGCTATTCCGCAAACTGGTGAGAACAGAACTGAAAATCAGACTGGTTTCAGCTCACTCGCTGATTAACTCTTTGCTTAGAACAGAATTGTTAGTAGTCCTAATGGGTGAGTCAGTAGTTCTGATAAGACTACTGAAAGGGAGGACAGGTCACAACACCGATATTATTGGATTTACAAGAGAGGGGGGTTTACGTTCTTTAGCCTGTAAAGTAAGCAGGTAAAAGCTTGTATGCATGTGGTTTAGATCTGTTGATGAAGGAATGGTGTGTACGAGCATGTGTATATCCAGCCTGTGATGAAATCAGTGAACTTGTACTTTGCAGCTACACAAGCATCGTAATCTCCACGTCACTGTTTTGGTGGTACAATAGATAGAACCATGTAATAGGCAGGAAAAATATGTCTGCTCTTAAAGTCAGTGAGATCTGATTCTTTATATACTGTTAAACTAGTTATGTGTCTGTTTCTTAGTTTCACAATGCTTGTTTCAAGTATTACAGGAGTTACAAAACAGTTACATTCTGCCCTAGAGTAAAAGGTAATGGCAGACTTACATGGATGTTAGAAGCTGAAGAGAACAATTCTAGAAATACTGTTTCTATGTTGGGCAGTAACTTGTATTAAAAAGACATACCACTTAACATTGGCATTAGACTAAATCTTTGTGTAGTTTTCTTTTATCCCACTATAGCATCACAGAGTAAAAGGGAGTGAGCTTTTGCTTTTTGTATTTACTCTATATTAATAGTGGCAGGAGAACCTACCCTAGATGATGAAAATAAACATTCTCCCTTTTGATTCATAAGGTAAAGTTGGCTGAAAAGCAGATACATTTTGGGTTTTGTAGCATTCATTTCATTTTGGGGACCATAAGATTAGCACAGAGGCTTCATCAAATATTTAGAAAATGTGTTCTCTATGAAAGAGGGAGGTGTTTTCCTGGCTCTGTAAAATTACCTATTTAATTCCACTGTGTGAGTATTGATTCTTCTGTTTTTAGGTAGGTATGTTATCCAGAATGTGGCAGCCCAGAAAGATGGAGAGAAGTCTAAAGTCAAAGTGAAAGTCCGTGTCAATACTCACGGCATTTTCAGTGTGTCCACTGCATCCATGGTAGAACCAGTTAAAAGTGAAGAGAGTGAAGATGTTGGTGTTGAGACTGAAGTGGAATCTCAGGACCAGAGGCCTACTGAAAACTCAAGTGATGTAAGTTCACCTTTCTTGTGTATGAATGTCCTTAATGAAAGCATGTTCTGCTGTTACGTACTCTGGAAGGAAAATACCTTCTTCTAAGGAAGCAAAATGAGGTTAATTTTGAGATGTGCATAGCTATCAGGAAATATAATGTCTTAATAAGAACAGGAGAAAATTAGTGCTGTCTTGAAAGTGTGTGGACTTCAAAATTTATTATTGGGCAAAGTGCTAAATAGCAGCAGGTGGGTTGCTTGAGGGTGGGGTTGCTTGCAGCTGCCATTGTTATCAGTGTTCCAAATAGGAAAACTTGGTTTGGATTATTAGTCATCCATGTTCTCTGTGGTAAAAAGCTTTGTGTGTAATCCTTTGTATTAGTAAAGTTTTGAAACTTTTTGTGGAAGGGGAAGCTGGATTGTTTTCTACAGCACTGAAGGGGAGGGGAACACTGGGGAATAATGCAGCATTGTTATGGTGTACTTGATGTCTTAACAGTTTTCTGAGGGGGGGGAAAGCTTAAAAGCTATGACTCAATAAATTAAAGCCACCTTTTGTAAGAGAAAGTGGTAGGATGTGTACACACACACGAGTATTATGCTGCAAGCCTGGCATTAGTGGCATTTTCACTAAGTCCTTCTCAACTTGCACCTAGTCTGTATCTCCGTTAGTTAAAGCGTGTGTGTTTCTGCATGTGCACAGAATGCTTTGTAGGGCACTTTGTACAGTATGTGCATCAGAAGTGAAGTGCCCTATAACTTATTAAATACAAGTGCACATGCCTTCTACATCCTTTGTGCCTGGGCTTTCATTTCAGAAAAATATCCAGCAAGAGAACAGTGAGGCTGGAACACAGTCCCAGGTACAAACTGATGGTCAGCAAACGTCACAGTCTCCCCCTTCATCAGAACCTCCCTCTGAAGAAAACAAAATCCCAGATGTCAAAGTGAGTGACCCTTTAACTCTGTTGAAAATGTTATGCTATATAATGGGGACTTTTAAAATGGTAACACATTCCAGGAAAAAGTAAGGAACCTGGTGCTCAGAACCTTTTTCATTTTTATACCTTTTCTATTGTGAAAAATAATGTATATATCGCGTGATGATTTTCGTACAGAGTTTGCAAAAGAATTCCCGCAAGAAGTCTCGCTCTAGCACTTCCCTGTCTTCATGCAGTGTTGTACAGCTGATTTGTTTGGCTTGCAGACATTTCAATTCGTTTAACAGCTGTTAGAGGCCAGGCTTATTAGGCCTGCTGAGAGAAGTTGGGCTCAGGAATTCATAAATCTAAGAGGAAATAATCTATGTGAAAAACATACGCCTGCATGATATTGCTAGTAGTTTGCTCTTTCATCTGTATAAGATGAAAAATGTTTTCAGTTAAAATCTTGCCACTGTCAGCATCACCAGTGAAGTGCTAAGCTGCAGATGGGCACTTCTGGAAAACCTGCAAATACACCGTATATCTGAGAAACGTCCTTCCTGTAGCTCAGTACTTACTGTCCATGAAATAGACTGTAAGCAGACTAGGATGGGAGGTGGAATCCCTGAAGGGAAAGTGCCTCACACATACATTTTTGAAGATTCTGAAAGAACACAGAAAATCTCTGCGTGTTCTTCCTGTGAATGTTTCTTTCATCATAGTGCTACTTCATCAGAAGGAAGTCAGGGAAATCATCTTATTTTTCTTCTCTCCAACTCAGACAAATGAGAAGAAAGGTGATCAGCCTCCAGAAGCTAAAAAACCCAAGATAAAAGTGAAGAATGTGGAACTACCTATTGAAGCTAACTTGGTTTGGCAGTTAGGAAAAGATCTCCTCAATATGTATATTGAAACAGAGGTGAGTGAGAGTATAGTGTAGACTGCTTTCTTGATTGCAGTTATTAACCATTCATCTGCTTTTTAAGGCAACCTCTGATCTTTTACTGTAACCTTGGAATGTGGACTCAAATAATTTACAGTAAGCTAGTATACGCTCCAACTTTAACACATAACTGACAAATGTTAATCAGAAAGATTGAAGTGTTGTTTATAGCGATAGTATCAGAGCACTGATCCATGGAATGACATCATAGATTGGTTCAAGCTGTTGTAATATGGAGAAGTGCATCCCATTTCTTCAGGTTAGTCCACTGCATAGCAGTGAGAATTCCAGCAGTTATGTGAGCCAAGGCTTCTGGGAGATTACTGTGTTTTACAGGAGCTGTGCTTTGTAGAATGCTGTTTGAACATGGGTATTTTTAATTAAAATATTTTCTGTGATTATACAGGGTAAGATGATTATGCAAGACAAACTGGAAAAAGAAAGAAATGAGGCCAAGAATGCAGTGGAGGAATATGTGTATGAGTTCAGGGACAAGTTGTCTGGACCATATGAAAAGTTTGTTTGTGAAAAGGTAGGTTATGGTTTCAGGAGCTTCCCTGAAAATACTGATACCAAATATCTATTTGGTATTCCTTGGTCAAGCTTCCTCATAGCCATCCTGGAAATAGCTGAAAACTGTAACTCATTTGAATGATGGCTGGGACTGATCCAGAATTACGTTCAGGTTTATCAAATAGTACATATCCCTGAAAATAAACTTTGTCACAAATGGAATAAATTTTTGTTTCCAAATAAAGTTGGTGACTAGAAGGGGAAGCTGTGTTGCTGTATCTATAACCAAAAACATTAAAGCTGCACCCCAAGCATTGGCCTAATCAAGGAGAAAAGGCTATAAATGCTACCTATGTGGTAGATGTGTGTGTGTTTCCCAGTTCAGAAGCTGATGTGGTTTAACTGACTTAATTAGGCAAAAGTAGAAAATGTAATTTTTATGTAGGAGGCCAAGAATTAATGTTTATTTTTCAGTGTGAGACACACACAGTCAGTTGTGCATATTTCGATGTTTGACATGTTGAATTATATTGATACATAGGATCTGCAGGGATTCTCTGCACTCCTAACAGAGACAGAAGGCTGGCTGTATGAAGAGGGTGAGGATGAAGCTAAGCAGGTGTATGTAGACAAATTAGAGGATTTAAAGGTAGGTCTGTTAGTATTGCCAAACTACAGAATTTCCAAAATATCACACAAAACAATGTTAATGAATCACATAACGCATAGGAATTGCTTTTTCTAGAAATTAGGTACTCCAATTGAAATGCGCTATCAAGAAGCAGAAGAACGTCCAAAGCTGTTAGAAGAACTGGGACACAGGCTCCAGTATTATGCTACAATAGCTGGGGAATTCAGGAATAAAGTAAGTGGCCTCAAAGTACCTTTCTTTTACCACATGGTGTTTCACTGAGGGTTACCAGCTGGCAGAGGCTTCAAATTCACTTTCAAATGAGCTGCAATCTACTGTTATATAGGTCACAAATTTAACACCGCAAATGTTTCCCAGTACTCAAAAAATCTCGCATAGTGCGTCATATCGTCAATTGCTTGATACTTCTGGATGTTTTCAGGCCAAAAAGGACATTCTTACAAAGAGTGAGGGTTAGACTGTGGTCAGATTCTTGACCTTTTAAAAGCTAATCTGACATTTTTAGAAGTGTTCTCTTCTTCCAGTTCTTTTGGGAACAAGAATTGTGCCATAGTGTAAAAGCTACTCAGGATAAACTAAAACATCTAGCTTTTTTATTATATATGGGTGTTTGGGGTTTTTTGCCATTGATATTTGAAGATTACTTTCTTAATAATCATGCCTGCCTTTTGAAAATTTACACCTTGGGTTTCAACTTAATGAATTTTAATAGGGCAGCTCACAACACTTAAGCTAATTCAGTTTGAGATTGAGACTTGCATCAGAAACAATTAAGTGCTCACAGCTATAGATTACAAAATTGTCATTATTATGTGAAGTCCTTCAGTAGTATTACACAGTCTTGAAATAACTAGCATCATTGAAAATAGTACATTTAAGACTTGAATCCGTATTTAGAATTCTTAGTTAAAATCATAGGTTGTGTTGCTGGGTAGGTCCTTCTCCTGATATCAGTTAATTCTGTAACTATGGCATTGTAGGGAATGCTCCTCAAGTTTGACAACTGATCCTTTCCCTTTCTGTGTACAGCAGAATCGCACTGTCTAAACTACCTTGGGCCCTTGTAGGCCCTCTAGGAGGGAGGGGATGCTTGGTGATGTTTTTTTTTATCAACCCTATTAAGAATGTTATGTTTTATTGTGTGACCTGTTTGTGCAGCCTCTATTTCCTCTGTGAACTAGGTTTCTTGTTTGATCATTGGGCAGAGGAAGCTTTATTTTGATATTTGTATTTCTTGTCTCTTACTGTAACAGATCTGGCTTGTTGCCAACTTCTATTTGTTTTGAAAATCAGTAAAGATTATAAATTGTAAATAATTGGGATAGTCTTGTTGGCATAACTTGATGTTATAAACTGGACATTATTAACTAATACAAAACATTTGTATTTGGGCAGGATGAGAAATACATCCATATTGATGAAATGGAAATGATGAAAGTAGAGAAGTGTGTTAGTGAAGTGGTAGAGTGGATGAATAATGCTGTGAGTGCTCAGGCTAAGAAGAGTTTAGATCAGGATCCGGCTGTGCATTCAAGTGAAATTAAGGCAAAGCTACAGGTAAGTACCATAAGAAACTAATTTTAGAGGCTAGTGCTAAAGCTAGACTGCTATGTCCCCCTCCCTCTCTCCCAGTTTCATCTTACTGCTCCAGTGTTCTTAAAGGGTAGTTAGAAAGTATGGACAGAAGGAGATTCAGTAGAAAGCAGAGGAGCTGTACTATACTGTATACAATTCTGTGGAGCTTATTGACATTTTGTGTCTTTCAGTCATCTTAAAAACTCATGTTGTTCTTCAGTGTTACTGGTAGGCAAAAATAGTCTTGAAAAAACTTCCTGTGAAATCCAGAATATTAAGTTGAAGAACTTTGCCCACAGAACTTCAGAAAGTAAACCAGTTAATTTATTTCAGGGTATAATAATTACTTGTCAGTTTGGAGTTGGGAAACAAATACAGAAGCAAGTTTCAAACAGTCTTTTGGGTACAGGACTCTTCACACTAGTGAAGCTGGTGGGTCCTTAATATATATTCTGACCACATCTTTTCCCTTTCTTTAGGAGGTAAACAATGTCTGTGAGCCTATTGTGACACAACCGAAACCAAAGGTTGACTCTCCTAAGGAAGAAAACCCATTAAATGAACGGAGTGATTATAAAACTGAAGACATGGGAGAAGATGAAAAAAATTCTGAAATGCCTCAACAAAATGGCGAATGTCATCCGAGTGATCAAAACACCATTAGCATGGACTTGGACTAAACCACTGCACTTGCAGCAAGTTATTTCATCCCATGACAGAAGATATTTTTGCTGTCGTATGTGATGGGGGGGTGGGAATGCATTGTTTTGGGAACTATTTATATTTTTTTCTTAAGACTTGTCTGGGATACGTTGTGTTATGGGAGGAAGAGTAGTAATAGTGTTGGTCATGACTATCCTAAAAGGAAAATTGCCTTGGTAACTTTCAGATTCCTGTGGAATTGTGAGTTCATACTAAGCTTCTGTGCAGTATTTAACCATTTGCATCACTAAAGATGAAAAGAAGCCCTTGCTCCGAAATATACTGCTCCTTCAAAAGGTTGTAATCGAAACCTTCGTAGGCATTTGTAGATGCCAAGGTAGTTTTCTTTTGTCTGGACATCTAATTGGGTATGTCAATAAAAAGCCAGTGTCTGTCCTGTTCATAAGGACTTTCCAGAAGAAATCCTTCTGTTCTAAGGTTTTTGATTTTTGCAGTCCAAAGCACTTACCAGATAATAAGATGGTGAAATGTGTTAGTAGCATGCAGAAACGCTTACGTTTCATCTCTTGCTAAACAATACATTTTTCATGTGGGGTACATAAAATGAAGGAAATGCTAATTCTGTTAGTGTTATTGTGAAGCTTTTTAATGAGCTTTAAAATAAAGTTCATTTTACTGGTATCTCCTGACTTGTTGGGTTTAGGTGTTTTTAGTACTTCTGGTGTAAGTGTTGCCCTTCTCACAGTTTGTGACAGGCCATTGTTTTGTGTTCCTGTGCACGAGAGTTTTAAAAAGGCTTAAAACTTTCACACTTACTACAGAACTGTTGTGCAGCGAGTTGAAAGTAACTCAGCTGCTTAATGAGTTATGCCTCTTTCTTTGCCCCAAGCATTGTACACACCTGAAAGAACCTGGAAACTTCACAGATGTTAAGGCATAGGACAAAATTTGTAACACACAGAACCCTATAGCTTAGAAGCAATAATCTGCAGTTCAGAATAAGATGTTAAAACCTGGTTGAATACTTAGGCCAGGCTCTGCTGTTTTTTGTTACAGACTAAACTGAAACGGTAAAATGAGATTTCAGCCCATTCTGCTGAGCGAGTGGCTCTGGTTAGACCTTGGTAAAGGTTTTAAAAATTAAGAATTCCTCTCACATAAATCTCTGTAGTCTATTGAAGAAGCTTACTTTTAGGTACTTGGAGCAGGGGAGGATGCTGAAAGAGATTTTCCTCTGTTTTAGGCATCAAATTACACTAGGGAATCCAGCACCTGAAGTACTGAGGGAAGGATTTTTCTTGGAAGCATATTCCAAAGGGTGTTATCTCTACTGATGCATTGGAGCATAGACCCTGTATATAAGCATGTGACACCAGATGCTTGAAAAATCGGTGTCACTAAATGCAAAGTTGTTTTTAAGAGTGTGGCTCCAGCAGTATTTTGCCTGCAACAACAAAACAAAAAGAGGAAAGAAATTAGTCCTACTGGAGCTACTGAAGAGGGAGTACAGGTGAGAGGACTGGTGCTTTCTGGGGCCAACTAATCCTACTCATGGCAAGTGTTTTTTCTTCTAGTTGGTGCTTTTAGCAGCGCCCTAAGTCTTCTCACAGCCAGGGGCAGGAGCAATACTGCAGTGCGTGCAGCTTCCCACAGTAATGGCCAATTTTCTGCATTGACTATAAGCAACTGGATTATCAAAATGCAGATCCCTGTTACTGGCTGCTTTGAGCTGCCTGTTCTTTACCTTTGCTGATCCATTAGGCAATTGTGTACAGTAGGCAACATTAAGAATACTTTGATTGTTCCCAATTCTTTTCCTAGAGCTAAAGAATAGGGAGTCAGGCCAGACTTCAAAACCATGTTTGGAGTGTGAAAGCGAACTTCCATGTTAGTACTGGTGCAGTGGTAGCATCAAGGGTTAAGTATTTGTAACAGACATCTGCTTGCTTAGATTATTCCTGAAAGGGAAATTATGGTTCTAACACCATAAAAGATATGAAATTACATTGCAAAATCAGTAGGATGCCCTAGCAGGAAGCTTAGCCTGATCAGAGGAATGTTTAAAGTAGAATTCTGTCAGAACATCTTGTCCTGGATCTACAAAACGAAGCTTTGCTGGCCCTGGAGTGATGGGTTGTTATATGTTCAGTTACCTCTATATTAGGTATTGCTCTAATTTTCCTCTAAAAAAAGTCTGCACTGAGAACAGACAAACCTGTGGGTTTTTTTTGTGGGGTTTTTTTTTCAGATTTCTGGAATATTAACTATTTCATAACAGCTAATGGTGTGGTAAGTGATTGACCCTTTATGATTAAGTGGCTTATTTAAGTTCTTACAGTGCTTGTGCTTTAACCTGGGGAGGGGGGGAATGAAAGCAGAAATCAATGATTCAACTTTCCTCCTCTCCCCTCCCCCTAATTTAATGAATTTCTTACTTTGTAATTTACCTTTTACCAGACACGTGTGAAAATCATGTGTGTGTGTGTTTCCACTTTGATCTCAGCATCAGTCATAGGGAGGTGAGGATGTTCAGGACAGCAGCTTCCTTCATGCTGCAACATACCAGAAGAACGCTCAGCAGTGCAAGGCATAGATTGCTGGCCAGTTGAATCCTACTGGCACAGGGGTGTAGTGGCCTTCCTGTGTTACTAAATACTGCATGAAGGTTTGAATTATCTTTCTTTTTTTTTTTCTTCCAAAAGAAGAGAACTTGATTACTCTAAAACAAGCTTTTGAAATTCTTTTGATGGAGTATTTTGGGTAGTCTATGTTAAGTAGTTACATTTACTTACAATGTGCTCCTCTAAGTTCCTAGTTTTACCTAAGTCTTTACAACTGTTTTGCTATAGTGACATCACTAATAGGGAGAATTTACATCAGTATTCAATGTATTTTTATTTTTGAGGTATTGTATTTTATTTTTTATATTCTCAAGCTGTTCTGAGATTCTTTGGACTCCACTTCTTTCAAAGATCCTAGAAAAGTGTCTAATAAATACAAACTTTTATTTCTTATCCAGAAATCTATGTGAAGTATACAAGGAGGTCAAATCCCCACTACAATGTTTAAGGATGTGCGTGGAAAATGCTCAAAAAGCACTTATCCAGACTGCCTTATTGGGTCACTATTAACCTTAGTTACATATATAAATATTCCTTAACTGCCATTATCTTCCCAACATAACAGACTTGTGAATTAACTCTGTCCTTAAAATAAAGTTTATAAGCTCACAACACACATCAAATTGCTTGAAATTCAATCTTTCTGTAATTCTGAATCTTAGATGATTCAAACTTATGTAAAATACATGAGACTTACCAGAACTGTTGTATTTTACTTTGCCATTATATTTTTTTCAAAAGGTTTAGTGGAACTAAAAATTGTGAGATGATGCACAGTCTGAGAAATTATTTTTTAAAATCAAATTTTTAAGTATTTTTAGCCACTAAGAGTTTCGAACCACAAAAGGATAACGGCAAAATAAATAATAAAAAAGGTAAAATCTTAAATTTACTTTTATCCACTGTTACAACCTCTCTCAAAGGTTTGATCTAGAATGTTTTGATGGACTAACAGTGCATAGACTGACTACTATTGAAGTTCAAATGATGCATTTTAACACTTGGTCAGGTATCTTGCCCCTCAGTGAAATGCTCCTTTTATTATTTACTGCTTCTCCCATTTTTGCGATAGGTTTTACTTTCTTCGTGGGTGTACATGATGAAAATGATGGAGCCAAAATAAGATAATCTCTCTGGAATACCAAATACACTTGCTGCATATATAATGAAGTTTTCATTTATCGGATGGTAGTCTAATACATCAATCCTTTTGTTCCTTAGCCTGTTGTAGGAAATGCAAAGACATGCCCTAAGTGCACCTTCTTGTTTCCATCGCTTGTTTCACTGGAGGAGGCAAAGTGCAGGCACTGGAGACCTTGCCTGTTGCACAAAGAAAAGCTGCTGCCTGTGCACAAACCTCAGGTACAGGCTTCCCCCAAGCTTTGGGTGGCTGGTCTGAGTTGAGGACTTGCAGGACAGAAGATCGTCCTTCAGCACTAGGTGAAGGGGCAGGCTTTGTGGGTCTATCAGTATTTCACAGGGAACCCAGGTGTTTCCAGGAGGCACAAGGGGAAACCTCCCAAGGCTCAGCCTGGCCAAAGGTCCTGGGGCAGGGGGGAGAGAGAGGGGAAGGTAACCATGTGAAGAGGTGTACAAGGAGGACTCATCTCAAAGCTCTGGGTAATACCAGCTGTAAAGCTGGTAGGAAGTGTTCAGTTAACTGGGGAGAGGAGGAGCAGAAAGCACGATCACAACACACACATAACAGAAAGCTCAAACAGAAAAAAAAGTGTCAGTGTTTTAAACAAGCTATAAAGGAAGGAGGGATTTTTGAAGCATTGCTATGACAGATCTTTGGCTCCTGGCTCCTTATTCATGTGAATTGGGACTACTGGTTCTCTTAACTCTGTAGATGAGGATACTGGACTGCCAGGTGAGTTACTAAATTTGAGTGGAGGTTTTAACTTCTCTGTTAGAGCTGAGCACCTAATTACCAGGGTATCTACTGCTCTTGTTCAGATAATGTTTGTGTTCTATGCACATATTTCTGTATTTTGTATCTCCCCGTGATTAAGCCACAGCACAGCTCTTTGAAAAATATTCCAAAAATACATACATGTTCACATAATCTTCCGAGTCAGATGTTATTTATTCCATGGACCTTGATCAATCCCCCAAACTGCTATTGATTTCAGTGGATGTTAATTCAGATAGTTTTCAGCTGACTTTCAAAAGTGGTGAAGGAGACAAAACTGCATAGAAGAAAATAGGATTTAAGCATAAAATTTCCACAGTTGGTGGGTTTTTTTGTTAAAAGCATAGCAGGCATAATAAAACCTCTTAACTTCTGCATTTTCCCATTTTGAAGTGTCTTAAAAGCTAGCCTCTAGTTCTTCTGGCTGAAGGAAGTAAATTTTAAATATCGTTTGACCATGTTCTTCCTCCATCCAGAATGTAGGATGCATATGGGAAAATAGAAAAAGCCCAAAGGCATTCCCTGTGAAATGAAGAAACCCCATCCTGTCACTCAAATATAGCCCCTGGTGATTTAAAATACAGATGAAAACTAAAACAGAAGATGCAAGACAGAAAAGTATAGGTCTAAACACTAAATGCAGTCCATGAATCTACACTGTAGGGGCTCACCCACCCATGGCTCCAGCAGTAGGGTGATTAGGAAAGGCCACGTTGGCTTCCTGCAGGTGTTTCTTCCCTGTACGGCATCTGCTGTATGCCAATTGTGTCCTTAGCCGTCAGCGTTACTTACCCCTGTGTTCTGCAGCCGGACTCCAGAGAGGAGCTGTGCCATCTATAGATGAGGACAGCAGGACTGTCTTCATCTATCACCTCTGATCTATCAAAGCAGAGGCAGAACACCTACCAGGAAACCTGTGACAGTGTTGCTAACTTACACTGCCTGTTGTTAACCTCTACCGCCAGCAGTAGCCTGTAGCTTTAAAGATCAACTTCAACGTAGGGATGCTCATCCCTCTTGGGATCGTGCTCCAGAGAATGGGGAGGAGAGATTTAGAAAGGGAATGGAGGGATCAGACTACAGAGGGGCTGGGGCCACCAGCCTTCTCTGACCGAGGAGTCTGACTGCACGTACGGTACCTGTGC